CCGAAGACTTGCGCGGGCCATCCCATACTGGGGCCGTCCTCCGGACTGGTTTTGGTGCCAGCCGCCGGCATTGCGCTGCGTTTGCCTGGGCCACCTTAGATTTAATGATTCACCAACGATTAACGTAAATTATCGTGATCCTGTTCTCCGTACCGACTGTGCCAATCACGTCGACTTGTTTGTATTCCTGTTTTTATTATACATAATATTCGGATCTCGTCCCCATTCGGTGCGCCAACGGGCGCCACGTGATTCAGCGGGCGTTCCCCCCTTTAACCAGCGGGCGCACGTACCCAAATTTTTATCGTGTTCAGTGGTACCCCTCGAGGCAGATTTTTTTAATTAACTTATTAAATTAAAAATTTTACTGTTATAACTTATTTAAAATTTTCGTGTGTAAAACATACATGTATACATTCACTTTACCTCTAAAACACGCACTTTACTTGAACTGGGGTCTATCCAAGTTCTCAACTTGAGGTCGTTGGTTTAGAGGCAAGGTACTCGTCGATGCTGTACCCGGAGTAGTGGTGTGGCGTTTGTGTGTGTGTGTGTTTGTGTGTGTGGTGTGTGTGTGGTGTGTGTGTGTGTGTGTGTGTGTGTGTGTGTGTGTGTGTGTTGTGTGTGTGTCGTGTGGTGTGTGTGTGTGTGTGTGTGTGTGTGTCGTCACCACTCCTAGAGGTCGGACGGTGACTGCAAGTTGGTTCTTTTTAGCGTTTGTCTCTAGTGTCGAGGAGTATAGAAAAGTCTTTGACCTGTTTTCAATTTGTTCATGTTTGGTGTCTGACAGACACAGTACCGTTTATGTCAGCGACCAAATAAATACAGACAATTTGGCAACAATACTTCACACCTTTACTCGTATATGTTTGCAATCGGAATCGGACCAGCTGGTAGAGGTTTAAGTCCTTTTGTTTCGTAAATTTTCCCCTTTGGCTCGGTGACGGCAGAACAGACGTCTGAACAGTTCGTAATTAAGTTACCAAAAAATGATTTTGCCATAGTCATACAACAATGAAGCGTAGTAAAATTTTGGCACATAATTGTTAAATTAGTGCCATTTTATACAAGTAAACAACATCAACATCAGGGCTCGGTCGCGCAGAACAAACCTTTACTTACCCGCTCACTTGTGTCGGACCCGTTCGTCGCCACTTGAGTTCGCTAATCTCGCGTTCAGCGCAGCCACAGCTTGCGT